CTCAGCTTTCCCCACGTCACCCTTGCTTTCCTGACTTCCCCCAACACCTACTAACTGTGATTCCCTCCCTGCCATCTGAGCTCCCATGTCTGTCACCTATGCCTTAGGATATACCTGTTTCCTTCATTCAGAGCACAGGAGCTTATAGCAGGCAGCAGGTGAATCTCTCTCTCTCTATTTCCTGCAACTCAGGGCAAAAGTCCTCCTCTAGCTTCCTCATTCTTTACAAGAAAAAGAAAACAGATTCTGATTTAGGGTGGCTGAGTTGGTGAGGACTGACAAACCTGTTTTTGTTTAACCTCTAGCCAGCTTGCTTCTACCTCCCTTCCTTCGAGGGCAAACACCTGCTCTGCTCATCAGGTTTCTGATTTTCTGTCTTTTATTAAAGGCAATTTCTAGAGCCAGTGGCATTTGTTCATTCCTTCCTTCTTTCTTTCCTTTTTCCTTTTGGGCCCTTCTGCAGTCTTAGGCTCTCTTCTCACATATGCTTCTAAATCTATTTTTATTAAGTTGATAAAAGTAACTATTAAACCTGTAACCCCACATCACACACACACACATACACACACACACACACACACAGAGAGAGAGAGAGAGAGAGAGAGAGAGAGAGAGAAACATAGCACGTGTATGTGTGTGTTTGTCAACTGACACCTATTTATGTTCAAATATCAAAACACGGGTGACAGAATGATCATTGGATTGCCAGCACCTTTGTTATAGGGTGGGCATAGTAAGCTTAATGCACCATGAAATAATAAGTGAGGGATATTCCCAAGGCCCAGACTTCAAATGAGGAGACGCTTGTGACCTAGGAATATTTCCATCATCATTCCATTTTTTGTTTCCTTTTTATCCCTCCCCCATTTAATTTAGTGTCTCACTACATAGTCCTGACTGGCCTGAAAATTATGATGCCCCCACCTCCACTTCCCAAGTGCCAGGGTGACATGTGAGCCACTACTGCACTTGGTACTTGATATTTTAAAGTTAACCCTTGTAGTGGTTTTTGAAGTAGTTTTTCATACTAAAATTATATATGCACTTTCTAGAAATTAGAGGAACATTCTTACCAGTGCAAACACCCGAGGAAGACAACAGTCACTGTCACATCTTTACAGGGTGCTTCAACTTGTTTAGAATGGACACAAATTTCCTCACCGATGCCCTTCTGGCATCTGTCTGATGTCCCTGAATAGAACTCCTGAGAATTGAGCCCCACCCTCCCTAAGATCCAGAACAGTGCCTGGCACACAGTGGGCCCTGGGTGCACTTTTGTGCACATGTAAATGCAGACTATGCTCTTCTTCCACAGAGACCCCTTTCCTTGGAGATACCTCTTCCTGCTAAAAGAGAACAAAACCTCTTCTGCAAGGGCCTCATGGAAGAAGCTTGCTGGCTGATGAAGAGTTCCACCCTGGACACAGCAGCTGAAGCTGGAATGCCTCCTTCTCCAGCAAGAACTGCCAATGAGGACTCTGTGTCCTTTTGCTTAATCATCTGTCTGTTAGCCTGCCGGCCATCTGGTCAGGTAAATCTTGGCAGAGTTTTGTTTCATACAGCACACAGTGCCCTTTCTTCAGAGGGACACTGGCACAGGACTACATGTATATAGTTGGCACGCTCCTACCACAAATAAGTTTGTAGAATGAAACAACTTTGCAAACTAATATATGCCATACTTTTCTAATGTAACTCCTCAGCTAGAAGTGTAAGTACAGTAGGTACTGAGGGGCAGTGAGATTTTCTTTGATTTGTAGGGTTTTTTTCCCTCTTAAAATCCATGGCATATCTTTGAAGACCCCCCCCATGGAAGGCCTCATCCTCCCTGGGGAGCAGAAAGGGAATGGGATAGATGGTTGGGGGGGGATGGATAGGGAACTGGGATTGACATGTAAAACAAGCTTGTTCAAAATTTAAATAAAAATCCATGGCATACTAAGCTACTGTGAATGTAAGGCATACATGCAGAAGAGCTTGTATAGAGGCGGGGAAGGAACATAGAAGAGGCAAATGGGATAAAACACAAGCACTGGCACCCCCACTTAAGGAACTATGGCATTCAACAAGTGTTTGTTAAATGAGCCACTACCATATGCTCGACACCGAAAGGCATGTGGCAATGACAAAACACATGCTCTTGATCTGCTTTAAACCCTGTAAAGGAGTCCGGGGGTGGGTGCATCCTAAATGGCACAGTATCCGCCCTAGCACCTTGCTAAACATGAGGTGTCAGGCATTTGGTGAAGAGAGCAATAGTGAGGAACATGGGCATGCTTCCAGAGGGAGACATGTTGATTGGCACAGAGATCAGGCTACATCAGCAGGTGCAGGAGAGGTGGTCAGAGGAGGATGGAAAAGCACCAACTTGGCAGAACCTAAACCAGTGATTCTGGGGTGCAGACTCCACCATCAGCAGCATTAGCAGCACCTGGGAACTATTAGGAATGCAAATTCAGGATTGAGGATATGGTTTAGTTGTTAGTATAATTGGGTAGTATTCACAAAGCCCAGGTTTCAGTTCCCAGCACCACATAAGCCAGGGATGGAGCCCACCATTCTGTTTTGTTTCTGTGACTCAAGTCTGAGAGCCACTGAGTCAGGAAAGGCAATTCCATCCTTTTAATGGGGTAAGTCAGACCTGAGGCTTTCCCCACATCTCCTCAACCCTATGCATAGTAATGCAAAGCCTTAGGGACTGGGCAGCCACAGGGTGAGTAGGGGTTAGAGAATCTCCATTTTCTCACAAGCTATTCAGGTGGCACATCAATGTTAAGAAGTTATGCTTCCCACTAATACTTTATATACATACATAGCCCTTATGTACATCCTCCTTGGCAGCCTGCCCTCCTAACTCACAAGTAGATTTGAGAATTGTTGGCTGAGAAGAGCTAGGCAGAAGCAGGAGGTGAATGTGACCTCTGGGTCTCCAAGTTCAGCTGGGATGACAAGTTTCCTCTAGCTCACAAAGCTGTACCCATCCCATAACCACAGGGTCAAGGGTAGCTATAAGAGACAAGCAGGTAGTGAGAATACCACTTCTTTTTTATTAGATCATTATAAAAACAGCAGGAATATGTTAGAACATAGTATTGACTTTATTGAAATGTGTGTGGTCCCTGAAGACCATCAGGATTTGGCAGCATGTGGCCTTGGCTGCCCTTTTGCCAGCTATAAAGTGATGGGTGATCTTTCCTGCTCTACATCTTCTCTTTGTTTGGATAACTCATATTCTCTTCAGAAGCAATTCTGTTTATATAACCTTTTCCTTCTGGTGTGTTAGCTTCTGAGATGAGCACACCACTGATGTGGCTGTTGCTTGAGTTATTGGTGCTTCCAAGGGGCCTCAGCACATGCAAATAGAAAAGGGTATGCCACATAGGGACCTGACCAGCACATTGGAGGTCATGATCCAATTCATTCTCACAAGGGCCATTTCACAGAGGCAGTAGTTCAATTGAACCTTGGTACGACACCTTCAGAATGTTAACTGACATGCTCTGGAAATGCTGACAGCCCTGTGCTTGGTTGTGCAGACAGCCTCCCATACACAGATATGTCAGCACCCAACACTGTTGGATGCCTTCTGATATCTCTCAGCCATTGAGGCCATGATGTGTATTTGGTCAGTTTGGTGGTGGTGGTGGGGAGACATTTGTTGTTCTTTTTATTGTAAGTAACTGGCCATGTGACAACATAGATGAGCACTGAGGAAGGACATCGTGCAATGTGAAAACTGTCATGCACTTTGATTCTACTGATACAATGTACCTGGGGATCAAAATCATAGAGACAAAAGACGAATAATGAATGGCTTCTAGAGCTACAGTGAGGTGGCAATGGTGAGTCACTGTTTAATGGGTAATAGAGGTACAGTTTTACAAGAGGGGAAAAGTTCTGGAAATGATTGTACAATGATGCTGAATACTTAATTCAAACCATACACTTAAAATGGTTAAGATGATAAATTGCATGTTATGTAGGTGCTACCACACTTTTTTAAAAATTTAAGTAAACACTACTATCTCACTGCAGTTTACATAGCTGAATAGTTGACAAGGAAAATACTGTTACTTAATAGCATATGCTACATATCTGAATATTATATCTAGGTGAATTTCAGTATCACCCTCAATTTACAGAGGGTGGTAAGAGGTAGGTTAGAAAGACAGCAACTCACAAAGCAGCTTCTGAGGCAGACTAAGATCCAAGCCCAAAGGACTGCTTGCTTTCAGTACAGGAACTCAGAAGCAGCACACAATACTTACCATGGAAACAGCTTATAAGACCTGGCTGGCTTCAGTATGGTGCCAGAAACAAAAGAGGATATCAGGGCCACTGATTTGCTCTGATGTATCACACTGACAGGTTTTATGCATGTATGTGATAGTAAAAAGTGCTAGGTAAGAACTAGTGGAGAGAATTCAAGAAATTCCTCTCTATGAAATTCTGGGATGCATAGTACCAGCTCTGATTTCTTATTACTAACACATGTCTCTGACAGCCAGTGACGTGACAAACTTGCCAGTGAAGAAATTACCATGGCCCCAGGCATTTCTTGGAGGGTCTTAGAGCTCAGAGACACATAGCCCTGGAAAATCTGTCATGAATTCTACACCAAGCTGTGTAGTGAAGAATAGAGAGAACCTAGGGACCACAGAATAGGTAGAGGGTTAGAAGATACAACTTTAAGTGAGGTGTGCGAAGGCCAGTCATTGAGGGGATGGAGGAGAGTATATGACCTGCATCTCCAGTCTGCAGGGCAGCTGGCCTGTCCTAACAAAGCCCAGGTAAATGTCCTGGGTATAAGCATGATCTACATGATATGTACCCAGTTCTTACCTACTGGTTCTGAAACCCATACTGTGTCCACTCTCTTGCAACCACATCCTCACTGGAAAGAAGTGGCTGGAATCTTTAGCTAAAGCTTGATTCCCATTTCTTCCCTGCTCTCTGTGTTCATCCCATATCTACCTGCCTTGATGAGAACATGGCAGTACCTGGTGTGTGTCAGTGGTCCAACTGGTCGCTCAGGTCTTCTTGGGGGCAATGCACCAGGTCTGTTGAGAGAATTGGTCTTAGGTGGCCGAGGCTTTTTAGGTGGGATGGCAGGAACAGAGGGCTTCTGTAAATCCAGTTTTGTCTCTCTCTCTGGTCTTTCTTTAAGTCATTGTTTGATGAAACAAGCACAAAGAAAACAGACTTCATGTCAGTGGCAACACTTAGATGTAGGTTGTTTATTCCCTGCTCTAACAACCACCACAACAATAAAAACATACATTGATACCATTTCTGAGAGCAAGGATGATGGCAAGGAGCACCACTTACTCATAGCCAACTTAGAAAAAGCCAGAATTCCCTGTCCCCTTCTTCCTCTGCTCTTGCTAGTGCTGCTCCTTCAGCCACTGACCCTTCAACGTCTGGCTCAAACATCTCCCTAAGAGCCTGTGCAAGATAGTATACAACTGTTGCTCCATAGATAGGTGATAGGCTTTACTATATGGCCCACATGATTTGCTGCTGGGTATAGGGGAAAATGGGCCTGATTAACCTCTGAGTTATCCAGCCAATAAGGGAGAAAACTATTCAGGGAATAACTTATTCAGGGACCTCTGTGCATACTTTGAACTTGGAAGATGAAGGGGGGGGGTTCTCAGATTTTGGGTCCTACTTTTGTAGCATGGAGCTATTAGGATGAGCTCCAATCCAGATCTGGTAGTCAAACTGTGTTGTTCAATGACAGTTTCAGTTTTCCCATTCCCAATGAGCCTTGCCTTGTGTATCCTTATGTGTAATACAAAAAGCATTAATCCATAGTCTTACTAATAAAGACTGAATTTCCATGTGTGTGGCCTACTGAAGCATAGGTTAAATTTCCTGTTATTTATTTGAATGCAAGTCCTCAGGACACCAGTGTTTCATTGGCAAGCACAGACATGGAACATGTTGTTTGGGAGCTCAGAATAAGTGGCAATAACTTTAGGTGCTTCCTCGGGTACTAAAGGAAAACACACCCAACTGGAAATGATAAGAACTTACTATCTGGCACACTAGGGCCAGAAAAGGAGGAGCGAAGCTAAAATGTTAAGGAGGGCTAGCTCCCTGGCAATAGGAATGGAATAAGGACAGGAATGTAGTAACTTGCAGGATGACATGGTATGTATTTTGGTGACATCACAGGGGCACTAATACTCAGATGCTGGTTCCCTGAAAGCCCTATTGCCTCTGACTAGGACTTTTGCCTCCCGTAGTCAGTGTGGCATAGGATAAGGACTCTGTAAGAGGAAGAGTGAGGGCTGTGTGGCTACATGGTCAGCCACGGAGAATGGCTGCTCACACTTCCATCTATCTATAAGTTAGCATGAGACAAGGGAGGGAATATCTTCATCACAGAGCCTGGCTAGGATGCAGACAGTAGAGTCTTCTATGAGCACAGGGGATAGTGTTTAGTTATTTCGCAACACTTGCTTTTAGCCAAGAGCTGTTGATAGGGCATGCACTGAATAGCAATTTTTCCCCATTGATCTCTAACACAGACTTGGCCTTCACAACGAGGTTCTAATGACTCAAATTTTACCTGCTCACCAAGAAAAAAAGAGGAACGGATCGTTAATAGCTTGCAATGTTGGCAAAACGTTTAGCAAGCTGATGTAAAACATTAAATTCTACAATAAAATTTCATGAGGCCACCAAGGAGCACCTCCAGATAATTATAACCATTAATACAGTATTTCTCTTGTGACTTCAAAATAACTGCTTTTTAAAATGGAATTTACTTGACTTCCTGTTCATAATAACATAGCACTTTCCCATATAAGTGTGTGATCAATCAAATCTTGGGAACCTGGTAAAAGGAGCCCTTCCACAGCACACAAATTTCTTTGGGAGAGACAGCCCAAATGATGGGAATCAAACACATTTGCAAACCTGTGTGAAGTTTTAAGAGACTCCTCTGCCAAAAGAATTTCTGACCTATCTGGCAACTGAGACTGAGTTGCTTTTCCCAGTATGACCATGCCACCCTCCTCACCTCCAAAATTCTTGACCAAGAACATGTGTCTGTAGTGCTATTAGCCAGAGTCAAGGGCCCAGCAGTGACCAAGGATGAGGGCTTTTATCTGTCTGGATGGGAATTTCAGCAAACCAAGACCTCCTATCAATGATGTATGACCCCTCCCGCCAAGACATTGAGAAAAGTGGAGGGAATATATGGAGAGCATGAAATATGTGCAGGGCCCTTGAACTTACAAACCACTAAGTTTGAAGTACAGGCAAGGTGGCAATGGCAGGCACATATGGAAGAGCCCTGGCCTAGTTGGTTTTGATTTGAAGAGAAACTTTGTCCCTACAAAGTGCCACATAAGCCTCTCCTATTTCCTTTGGAATTATATGTTTGGAAGCAACCCAAACAAACCAATAATCACCATATTCCAAAGAAAAAGCAAATTGTGTGAGTTATTGGAACTAGCGCTGTGACAAACAGCTTCCTTGTTTACTGTTGTAGACATACCAATGAAGAATTTTTTTCCTACCTTTCTCTTCTGTTCTGTTTGGAAGTGTTTCTGGTCTTTCAGGAGGTATCTTTTTAATTTCATGTTTTCTCTCTGTGGTACCTAGGAGGGAAAAGCTAATTGCAATCAGAAAATGTTTTCTCTATTTCGTTGACATGTCTGTATTTAAATATTGGTTAAGTATAGCAAAGGCAATAGATTTTCATTCCTGAGACGGGTACTATGTAATATTAATTCTTCACAAACATAGCAGAGCTCATTTGTAGCCTATGTCATGAGATTTGGCTTGTATAGCTGCATGTGGTGGTGTGTGTCTATAAATTTAGCACTTTGGAGGCTAAGGCAGAATCACTACAAGTTGAAGGTCAACTAGGGATATTTAGACACTGCCTTAAAAAAGTCTGCAAGCCAGGCATCGTAGCCCATGTCTTTAATTCCAGCACCCAGGAGGCAGAAGCAGGCAGATCTTTGTGAGTTTGACACCAGCCTGGTGTACAAAATGAATTCTAGGACAGCTAGGGCTGCTACACAGAGAAACCCTGTCTTAAAAAAAAACACTCAATAAATAAATAAAGTTTGCATAACTGTAAATATTTAATTACTATAACATCATTAATCTTTTCTAAATATTTAGACCATGTCTCCTTGGTCATTAAAAGTCAAATGATATAATGGAATGGGCATGTAGAATGTGTAAAAATAATTTATTCACTAAAACACATAAATAAGGAATCATAATAACATGTTTCACCAGGATCTAGACTCCATCTTCTAATAGACTAAATATATAGCCTAGAATTGTTTGATAAACCTTGCATTATAAGGTGAAATCTTTATTCCCTTGGCAAGAATGGGACAGTCTTGTGAATGCTTTGACCAGTAGTTGAAGTAATCCCATGCTATTTCCAAGGCTAAGTTATATGCGGCCATTTAGCTTATACTTTATTTGTTGGAATATTGGATATCCTATAGAGAGGTCAACTACCGCAGAGAAGCCATGCATACACACTCTGGCCAGCTAAGCCCAGTCTTCTAGGCACTCTTGACAAAGAAAGTAACACGTGTGAATAAAGCAGCTATTTTTCAGGAGGATATTCCAGCCTCAATTAGTTCTGCTTTCCCAGCCACTGACCCAGGCTTGCTGGAATAGAAACTACCCATTTGGGTCATGCTCTGTTCACATTCTTTACCCACAGACTCTATGGCTCTATAAGGATTGCTATTTTATGTCACCAAATTTGGAGTGGTTTGTCACACAGCAGTTGTAGCTAGAACATAATTTTGAGGAGCATGCAAATATGTTACAGTGGTTTTCCCTGAATCCTTTTTCTGTGTGTGAATTCTTTAAGTATTACATGATTCCCAATACACCACCCTTTACATTTCTTCTTTACTCCTGTGGCCTGCCACTGTTCCCTCACCTGATGTCCTCATCAGTGCTGTTGGCTTCAGGCATATAAGAGCACTGGGAACGAGCTAAGCACAAAACAGTCAGAAGTACTCTTCTGATGGACATGGAGGAGTACCTGACACTCTGCCTGGCTGGCCCCTGAGATGAGTGTTAAATACTGAAATCAGGATTACGAAGCCTCAAGAGTTAAAAAAAATTAACATTCCACTGAACATATTCTTCATGTGACTTCTGTTAATGACTCACTTATACATTAAAAACTGTTTCCATTTTATATCATTTACATATTTGGGTTCTTTTTGGTAAAAAGAAAATGATGATGGAAACATGAATGTCTATGTACTTCCTTACTACAAAGTAATTCTCAAGCTACTTCAGGATAAAATAGCAGGAAAATAAAAAGGCCCTGTACCTTACCTGGAAGAAATTCATCACAAATATTGGTAAAATCATTTCAAAAAGAATGTGTCTACCATGCTACTACACAGTCTCGCTTCTAATGACAATTCTACTATCTCCAAGAATCTGATCCTACTTACTCTTTTCTAGTCTTTCCAAGCCTCAAACTGCTCATTTCAATACTTTGGGCTACAACTGATTACCAAGGCCTCTAGGGAAAAGGGTCTTCAGAGAAAAATATGCAACTAGTTTGTTTTAATCATAGCACAATAAAATATTTATATAGTCAGAACCACTAGATGGCAAAATGAAACTATGCAATGTCAATGGGGATTAGGGTGGAATAGGACATTTAATTAACACCTAATTCCAGGAATCGATATCTGTAATTCTCAATTAGACCCAAATAAATTGAAAAGAAATTTAATCTTAAATAGATGTTTTTCTCCAAATTCATGGTACCCTGAAAAAAATATTTTTTAGAAAAATTACTTTGTAGTTGCAAGTCATCCTGGATGGACTTCATAGTGAGCTTCAGGCCATCCAGGGCTAAAGTGAGAGGCTCTGTCTTTACAAAACAAAATACTTCTTAATAAATGTATGAAAAAATCAAATCTGGCAATTTACATCTATTCATATATTATATGCTATAGCTATATCATAATTGTAGATTTTTTAAAAAAATTAAAAAACAGCCTTAATTATTTTGTTTTAGCTGTTTCTTGTTAAAATTAATATGCATGCACACATATATTAGCATATATCACTATGTAATATAATGGGCTTCATTGTGACACTTTCATACATGTATGCCATGTACCTTGATTATACTTTTATTCTCTCTTGTCCCTTCTCCTCTTCAATTTGTTAAAGAAAATCAAAAACAAAAATACTTAAGTGGTCATTTACAAACAAATTTCCACAATTAACTGACTGTTATAAAGAAGAGCTGCATTGGAAAGCATAAAACATTATCTTTATGTATAGATGAGAACACACTGTGCAGAGAGTTATTGAATATCTAATGACATCACTTCTTTCTATATAATTCAATCTTAATATCTAAACTATATAGGATGAGTGAACTGGAATTTTTTCAAGACTAGAAAAGAATCAAGAGGAAAAGTATCTATGGCTAGGAAAAAAAACATCTTTTTGTTGGGGGAAATGAAGTAAGTACAAATTTTGGCTAACCACATAGGACAGTGAAAACCCAGCAACTGCACATATGCTATGACGTGATTCCACGGGAAGCAATCTTCCCTAAGTTGACCCTCATTAAGGACAATAACCAGGTCTTTGTGCCTCAAAAACAGATTATAGAAAACCAACAGTACTTTCTTTAAGTGGAACCCCCATTTCTGCACGCTTTAGTGATGAGGGTTCTTTTGTTTGTTTGCATCTAGGAAAAACAGCAACTCATTTCAAATCTGCCTGCTGAGACCAAATCATAATCCCCAAAGTAGCAGACTGTGGATTCAGGGATTTTGAACTCTTAAAGAAAATGTGAAGTTGTGTGAAAGAAAAATGAACATTTTGTGTGAGGGACCTGAAAAGTACATTACCTGCTCCTTGTTTGATGACAGGAGCGGATGGAGGTGGTGGTTTCTTGGGTCTCTGAAAAAAAAATCAATCAAAATTATACATGAAACTGTTGTCAAGCTGTAGTATAACAGACAGACCACAGACAATGTTTTCTGGGTGCAGTGTGGACAATTTAGAAAACCTCTCCAAAAAAAATTGAGCAATTCTCTCTCTGAGGACACCAGCTTTCTTTTGGCACCTCTAAATAAACACTGAAGTAAATTCAGTTGGCAAACCAAAACTCAGACCAACAAGTGAAATGCCATTTCCCGGTTTCTAAATTTATAATAGCCTTCTGGAAAAACCCAGCTCAGCAAAAAATGGTTTGAAACCAGCAAGCACAATGGTACCTCCTACACTGAAACCAGATTTGCAATTAAGATTTAATCAGCTGAATAAGCAAGTGGTTCAATAAGAGTCGCCATGAAGACTCAGGATCAGATCCGGTAGAATGTGTGGAACTGTAAACTAAATGCAAACCAAGAGTATACTGAAGCCTGGAAAGTTCTCCCCTTTTTGCCTCTTTCTATGCTGAAGCTAGAAGCTCATTTATGAGATCCTCTACATAGCAGTTATACCTACAGCATGTGATAGACTGGAATGGATGTGGGGTTTTCCAAATTGGCCCACTATTTCTTTTTCTGCTGCCCATTGTTACTCTGTAGGTGACAAAAGTAGCAGTGCAATCAGTAGCATTCATTGCTGAACTGGTTTCAGAGTTTGTGGGCTTTTCCTTGTCACCCATATTGCCTGTTAGGAGGGAGATTGGCAAAACTAAACTGACCAAACATTTCAGTGGTTGGAGAACACACCCATATCATCTTGTACAGTGATGTTAAGGGCAAGGGGGTAACCATCCAGAATTCTAGCCCCCAAGGAAGGATAGGAATGGAGAAGGCTGGAGTGTGTGTCACTCTTGATACTCCCTGCCCTCTCAGGCACCATGCATGTGCGGTTCTAAGAACACTCCATAGAGAATCTTCTGGTTTCCAAAAATGTACTAGTGTGACATTACCACAGGGACCATGAAAGGCAGATTCCCAGCCTCTACTCTGACTTACCTTTCTCTGACACAGCATTGGGATATAGAAAGAATTTGTTTCAAATAAAATCCAGACACATAAGGAACTTGGGCAGCAGCAGGGGGCAATGGGAAACATAGCATGAAGGCTCAGGATTCAGTAACTTTTCAGCCTGTTTCTTCACTAGTTGGTAATTCCAACACATTACTCTGAGTAAAGGCTATAGCAAGGCAGGCAAGGGAAAGGCTCTGAAATCTGAAGTTCTGTAGAAACCTTTACTATTAGCCAAGGACAATGACAAACAACCTCACCTAGCTCTTCTTTCTTATTGGTAAATGGCCATTAATATTCTCTTCCTCTTGGGAGGAGGCAATTTTGCAAGAAGAGTTAGTAATCTTTGACTTGAGCAACTCATGTAGCAACTCTACAAGTAAATGACATCAATATGCCCATGCTGCTGTTGAAATAATTGAGAGAAAGACATTTCCCAAGGTCAAGCTATTAAATGGGGTAGAGAGGACCGGGAGTGAAGCCCAGGGCTGTTTGACCCACAGCACACTCTTAACTACTGTGAAGGCAGAGTGCTGGCGATCAGCCTTGAGGCAGGCCACCAGGCCAGCATGACAGAACACACACGGAATTCACTGAAGTCAGGCAACTGTACGATGGTCAGATTGGGAGGAGGAAATGGTTATCAGATTGCAGTTCCAGTATGAGCTCAGCTGGGCTGGGCTACAGAGAAGTAGAAAGGCTGGAAAGAAGTATGGTTAAAGTGGTGATCTCTGACTAGCAGGATCGTGTGTGTACATGCCCATGTATGTTTCCTCCTTGTTGTTTCCTTGGACTGTCACATAAACTTTATTATCAAAAAGCATGCTGCTCTCAGGGGCTCCTTCCCCCACAGGCTCTGCACTGAGTGTGTGTGTTTGTGGCTGAGGGTCTCCCAATATTCCATTCCTTTTGTCAGCCTTTTCCAGTGCTCTATTTACTCTGTCCTTTTCTTTCCTTTTCTGTCTTGGTATAAACTAGCCTCAAAACAGATGTGTGTTTATATACTGAAGTTATTGCTGGAATCTTGCCATTCAACCTTCTTTTACCTCAGGATCAGAGTTACTGCTTATTCATGAAACTGCCAACAGCATATGGTCTAATTCTTCCCAGCCAAGTCCCAACAATGCCCACTCCTGGATGCCTTTCTCACTCCTTGGTGGTTTGAAATATTCTTTTACTTTTAAAGACATTTTATTTACTTTGTGTGTCTGGCAATATGTGTGAGCTTGCACACATGTGTCAGAGTATGTATCTAAAGATCACAGGCCATCTTGTGGGAGTTGGTACTCTCCTTCCATTGTGTGGGTCCTGGGGGTCAAACTCAGACTGTTAGGTTTGGAAGAAAACACCTTTGCTGGCTGAGTCATCTCTCTGGCCCTAGTTTAAAATATTCTACAAACAATTGTACATAAGCCTCCCTAGTGGAGACATTGCCTTAAATTAGTGTGTGTGGGGGGTAGGTGCAGAGAGAAAGGCAATTATAAACTAACAAATTTTCTGATTACTGGGAATGTAAAAACCAAAACAAAAATTCATATTGTGACATGGCAAAAAAAAAAAAAAAGGATGGAAGAATAAAAGGAAAGGAAAAAGGATGGAAGAATAAAAGGAAAAAGGGAAAAGGGAGGCGGGGAGAGAGAATGGATCATGTGGCAATGTTGCAGTAACAGACTATGAAAAGTGGTCCCAGCCTGTGAGTGTGACAATGGGAGGAGGCAGAGTGCACATTTATGATGAAGAGTTGTGGCCACTGCAGAAGCAATTAGGACACACATTTAAAAGGAAGCTATGAGCTATCTGTCCCGTATGCAGCACATTGGATAGGCACTCGCCAGCAGAGGGACATTATACCCCATCCCCTTTTGGACTGAACACTTTCTCTGGTTTCGCTAAGTTTAACAGATTATAATGACATCATTTCCCCCTTCTTTTTTCCTCCATCCAAACCCTCCCATATATCCCCTCCTTGCTCTCTTTCAAGACCCATATAGCTACAATGGAGAAGATGAAGCTCAGAGGGACTGTGACAATCAGCTGGTAGCAAAGGGGGCCTAGAAGCCTTACCATTCACTGTCCAGACAATGAGAACTTAGTTTTCAAAAATCAACAAACAAACAAAAATAAAATGCCAGTAACAACAACAAAAACCCGTGAACTAGTATTTCCTGATCTCTAGTTAAGTCCAAAGCCTTTTGTGGTCTCATGCTTTTAGGGGACATGTTTCTACTATGTGTATATTTACTTCTGCCAGCATATGGAGCTGCTGGTTCAAATAGAAACAACCTGCCACCATTCAGGAACAAAGCAGCTATATTTGATTATTACCATTACAGTACCAAGAGGAAACAGATCTGAATGTCCCAGAGTAGGGAACTGCTTCCTGTGGAAGGATTTCAGAACCAACTTTGCCCTTGGTTTGACAAGACTTGCCTGTGCCAACTCAAGAAACTTGTCATCTGCCTCAACTGCTTTGACTGGCTGGAACTGTAAATTGTGGCTTTGCTTTATGAACCAGTTTGCAACTCTCCAAAGCCCTGAGATATGCTTTGTTAGAAATAACCTGAGGGTAGACCCTGTTGGTTGGTTATATATAAGGAAATGGCTTAGCCTATTTGATGTTGCTGTAGCAGAGCACTGAAGTCTGTGTAATTGATACAGAAAATAGGTTTATTTGGGTTCTTCACTTTGGAAGTCCAAGAACATGGTGTTGGCTTCTAATCAGCTTATAATGAGGGCTTTGTTGTACTTCAGCCCATGGCAGAAAGAGGGAAGGGTAGCAAGTACAGGCAGATGAACCATGCATAAGAGAAACCAAAGTGTGATGCAAGGATTGTAACTTACATTTAGTCTCAAGAAAATGAATCAGGTCTCTCCAAGAATATATTAATCAATTCATGAAGGTGATACCCCATGACCTATCAATTTCTTGCTTTGTTCTGTGTGGTGGGAATTGAATTTAGCACTTTACACATGCTAAGCAAGCACTCTATCGCTGGGCTATATTCCCAGTCCCAAATACTCCTTAAGGATCCTACCCCTCTCAAAACTGTTACACAGGCTACCAAGCTCCCACATGAGTTTGGACAGGGATAAGTCCTAGTTGTATCCTAATGAAGTGGCAGGAGTTGGTTAGGGGATTAGGTAAGCAAATCTTAGCTTGATTTTTAGGAAATTCGGACCTTAGAAACACCTTCATGTATCACACTAAGCTCAGAGACTTGAAGGGACATAAACTGACTTTTTCAGACCAGGGCAGCCATCACAGTTCAAGAACACAGGAGGCTCTCCTTTGTCATCACTACCATATCTGGAGGACTCACTACACTTTGAAAGCATGGAGCTTGGACAATGATCGGAATGATGATAATGTCTATACCAGCTCCTCTGTACCTTCCAGAGTCCAAACAACATCCTGCTCTGTCATCTGCACAGGAGATCCCCCTTATGTAACCGGCTTTTGGGAAAGTCTCTTGTTGGTTTCCTACCTCAGTCTATAGCCACATAGTATGCATCTGTAGTCTCCCTCCTGGATGGATCAATCCAAATGGGTGGCCTACTAGGTGGTCATCTAGACTCTGGCATAGAGCTTCCTTCCAATAGGCTGTCTCAACTTTATTCCATCCAACCCACCCTGCAAGTGATGGCTTAATTATATGCCCTGATCCCATGTCCAGTGGAAGGACCTGGGCATTCCTTTGTCTGGGAAGTGAAATGTGACAGAAGCCCAGCTGCATGCACCCCTCTCTCTTGTCTTTTATTTTAGACTAATACAAGAGGAATCAATCAACAGGAGAGGAAAGGCAGAAACAAAGCAGGCATATTTGACACCATAAGACTAAAGGACAAAGCTATCCTATCTGCCAATTTTATACCATGTACACTTCAGTCCTGATAAAGGAGACGCTTTGGGTATCAGCTCAAAAAAGTTCCAAGTGGGCAATGGAAGATCCTCCCTAAAGATAAGGATATGACAAATGAGAGAACATAGGCTGTAAGTACTGCCAGGAAAGGAAGGGGTGACACTATCTGGGTGGCCTGGGGAAAACATATTGAGGCTATATCAAGAGACCAAATTAAGGTGACATAGATAGCTTGACAAGCCCCATTCCTGTATATGAGACCACCTGAAAAAACTAAATATACAAGATAGATTTATTGTAAATAGATTATCTTCCCCAAACTGCTTATTTGGAGGCATATATTTATTTCTTCTGTAATTTACTGGCCACATTTAAAACTTAGGAAATATTATAGGAGCTATTTCAGGGTTAATGGACATGCCTAGGAATGAATAACTACTAGGAACAAATTTATAAACTGGATTGTCTATGAAATTGGAAAAGAGACAATAGTCAGAATTGATGCTGCAAATGGTGGGGTAAACATCACTGGAACTCCTTTTGGATAAGATTTTGAATTTGTGATGATGAATAGACACAGAGCTCTGAGAAAGTGGGAAATCAAGTGATCATATCACAGTGTGTCTGGAGAGTGGTATGAATAGGGCAGTGGCCAGCAGTTACTTTAAAAGATCTATTCATTCCTTCATGCTCCCTTCCCCTCATGCATGAGTTGCATGCACACACACTGGTACATTCACATAGAGGTAAGAAGAGGGTACTGGATGCCTGCTGCCACCTTTCTCCACCAATTCCTCACATTTCCTTGGATA